TTTTCCAGCCTAGTGAGTACAGCAGTGCTATATTGAGAAGTGAGGCAGGATGAAACACAATCAGGTGCTATAATTTTTTATTTAGTTAGTTTTGGTCGTCCTTGGCAGCTTGTGATCATTATCCGTTTGTCTGGAAGTACTCTGTGATTATTCTTGGCTATCAGTGCAGCAGGAATTTTCTTCTGTGTTTTAAAAGCAAGGATTGTAGTATACTCAGGGCTCCATCAGTTTTTGATTTTTTGTGTGTATGTGTCTTTGGGCAAGCTTCTGGCTATAGTTGGGTTTACTGTGCTATAATTTTAAAAAATTTATTTGTTGTAATCCTGTCGAATTTATTTTTGTGTGAGATATCTTCTCTCCACTAGTTTTCTTCTGTCCATATTAATGTTATTTTATAAACTTCCCTTAGTGTGTTAATTGTTCTTTTACTTTAGCTTTTTCTTGTGTGTATGGTTTTTTTTTTAATCCAGTGTTTACCTGTGACCTTCCTTAGTGACTTACTTGAATTATGTTTGTGCTTTAGAGACATAGGAGTTTGGGTCTATTATCCCATTTCTGAGAGAACAACTCCCAGTAGTTGCAGTTAGTGCAGTAGAAAGGGTTTTCACAAATGCAGTGCTGGGCATTGATGCTCTTCCTTCATGCTCATGGTTTACACCCAGAACTCCCATTAGTGTTAATAGGTGGCACTTGCTTAAATCCCTGTACTCCGAGAGAAGCCCCCACCCCTTTGTAATGCCTTATAGATACCTGACATGTATTTTTTTATTGTTGTTGTCGATGGCAAGAGTTTTGATCCTGAGGTTAACTGATTATTATTAAGATAGAATTTGAGTTGTCTTGGGATATGGGTGATTTACTAAGTGTGATCTGTAATTAAGAGGTTTATGTTATGATGATTAGACTCAGAAAACATTTACAGCTTTGTGAGCTGTGGAAGCTTGTGAATAAGGATTTTTGTACTTCATAGCGTGATGAAGGAAGATTCCGTTCCATTTATTTCTATTACTACTACTCAACCACAAAATAAATTATTTTACAGGTTTTTGCACATATTGTAAAAGGACTTAACTTAGTGAATATTCCCACAGTTGCTTTCCGATCTCTAAGTCTTTTGTCAGCTAGTTTGACTCACATTTCTCAAGCATATAGAAGTCAGTGTGCACTGTTTCAGAGCTTGGACACTGCAATCACTGATCAAGTATTAGATAATTTCTCTTTACTATATCTATCTGATTTGTAGGTTTTTTATTACTTTCATTTATTTATGCACAGTCTAATGGAAGGATTCCTAGACTGAGAGCAGTTAATCTGGGATTTAGGCCGGGCTTTCCACTTACCTTTGTAGCTTTGGGTTAGTCATCTACCTCCTTGGGCCTCTAGGTTTAGAGTCGGGTGCTTTCAGGTGTCCATTCTAGGTTATTTCTGAGGCCTGCTTTCCTTGGAGGCGACAGTGGTAGAATTCTTGTCTTCCATCCGGGAGACCCGGGAGATCTGGGTTTTAGGCTGGGCTTTGCCACTGATCTTTGTAGCTTTGGGCTAGTCATCTATCTCCTTGGCCTCTAGATTCTTGGCAATGCACCTCAAATATAGCCACCACCTCTCTGTCAGTGGAGGCTTGTGTGTTGCTATGATGCTGAACAGGTTTCAGCAGAATATCAGTCAGTGAAAACCCTGTGGATCACAATGGTCCGATCTTGTTGTGCATGGGGTTGCCATGAGTCAGGACATACCAAAGGACATAGGAGACTGACTATGAGGCAGTGGGTCCTAATCCTGGCTACCATCTGAATCTTCTGGGGAACTTTAGGAAAAAAAAAAACAGATATCTGGGCTCCAAATCAGACTTAATGAATTGAAAATCCGTAAGGGTGGGGCCTGTGAATCTATATTTTTAAAAGTTTTACAGGTTTTCCTGATCTAGGCTTGAGAACCACTTATACAAGCATTATTTCTACTCTGTGTGTGTGTGTGTGTGTGCGTGTGTGTGTGTGTGTGTGTAGTCAGAGAGATAAAACATAAGTAGCCATGTGAGGCGCTATGTAGTTAAGTTCTAAAATGGATGAGAGAGATGATGAACACTCCAGGAGTTCAAAGAAAGGGAGGGCCTGGGAGTTAGGATGGTTAGGGAAGGTCTCCATTAATCAGTGGGTCTTTATCTGGACCCTAATTGTTGAGTGAGATTTGGATAGGCAGAAAGAAGGTAAAGGGGTATTCTAGGTATTGGAAAGGTTATGAGTAAAAGTTTGGGGAGGGGAACAGTTGTGACAGTTTTAGTCTTAATTTCAGTTTTCTCCTACTCTTGCAACTGCTGTAGACTTCCTAAACATTTTGAGGGAGTGAGCCATGAAGATACTTGGAGAAAGAGGATGTTCAGGTCTTTTTTTTTTTCCAGAGAGAAAAAGCAAGTACAGCTTGCTTGATGTGCTTGAGGTATAGAAAAGAGGCCAGTGTGGTTGGTGCTATTTGAGCAATGGGAAGAGAGGAGGAAATGAGATTTGAGACTATGAGGTGCCCAGATCACTTGGAACCTTGTAGGCCATTGTAAAGTACTTCAACTTTTTCTCCGAATATGATGGGAAGCCATTGGAGGATTTTGAACAGACGAGTAACAAGATCTGTTTTAAATTTTAAAAAGACAACTCTCGTTGCTGAGAGAATAGACTGTAGTGGGGCAAGAGTAGAAATGGAGAGACCAGTTAGGAGGCTATGGCAATAATCTAGGTAAAGGATGATGGTGACTTGGACCAAAGTGGTAGTAGTGGAGTTGAGATAAGTGCTCAAAGTCAGTATATTTTGAAGGTAGAGTCAACATGGTCTGTTATTGAATTGATTGTGGGTAGTGGGAAAAAGAGGAGTTAATGATGACTTCAAGGTTTTTGGCCTGAAGGGATGGAGTTGCCATTTATTGAGATGGGGATGACTATGAGAAGGAGGCTGGGGGATAGATAATCAGTTTAGTTTTAGACATGTTGAACTTGAAATGCCTATTTGACAACAATGTTGAAGTATTTAGTGAGCAGTTGGATATATGGATGAGTTAGGAATTAGGGGAAAGGCCTGAGCTGGAGATAAAAATTTGAGCCACCAGTGTATAGATCCTTTTATAACCATGAAACTGGGTGAGATCACCTAGTGGGGAGGGTTCCCAGGACATTTTGAGGTCTTGGAGATGAGTAGGAACCAGCAAAAGAAATTGAGAATAGTGGCCAGAGAGATGAGGAGGAAAATCGAGAATGGTGTCCTGGAGTCAAGAGAAGAAAGAATTTCAAGGAGAGAGTGATCAACTGGGTCAAATAATGCTGAACAAAGAAGTGAGGGCTGAGGCTTTGCTATTAGATTTAGCAACACGGAGGTCATTGTTGATCTTGACAAGAATAGCCTAAACCCTAATGGAGTGGGTTCAGTAGAGAATAGGAGAAGCAGAATTGGGGACAGTGAATATGGTTAACCCTTTGAGGGAGTTTTGTTATACATGGGGGCATAGATATGGGACAGTGACTAGAGGAGGATACGGAGTTAAGGGTATATGTTTTTTTCTTTTTTAAGATGGGAGAAATGAAATGACCCAGTAATGAGGGAAACATACTTCATGAGAGTAGGGGGGGTAGTGCTGAAGGGATGTCCTTGAGAGGCTAAGAGGGATGAGGCAACAAGGGTAACTGTTATGCTGGGCCCTGCAAAGCTAAATCCCAGTAAGTAGGAGGATTCTGCTTTTTCTTCTAACCAGTTATCTGCGTTTAAATTTGTTTTAAACTTACTATACTTTCTGTTGGAAGTTAGGAAGAGCAGAAAAAAAGCAGTAAAATTTTGTACTTAAAACTTAGTGTATTGTACTACTATCAGCTTGCTTTAGTAGGAGAAAAGAAGAGATTGAGTTCTAGGTAAGGTGACATTTTAAAGTGTCTTTGAATGACACTTATTTGTGCTATTCTAGTCCCTTATCAAAATTTATGATTAAGCACAGGCTATAAACTCAATTGTTTAAAATTTGTAGTGGAGTGACTTAAATTTTAGCCTAATTTAAATCATGAACTAGTATCGAGCTTTTTCTCTGCCAAACTTGTTTATTGCATATTCTTCATATGCAAAGGTTTTAGACATTTTATAAAAGGTACTTAAGTAGTTATTAATCACTTGTGGCTTATTTAGAACATTGTAAATTTTACAGCCATATAAGAAATCTGATTTGTTTCTTTACCAGCTCTAATTAAAGCAACTACCTGTGAAGTTTTAGAGAGGCGAACAATCTCCAGTTTGCAAAAAATCATGTGAAGTTATGTTAGCAAGATATAATAGTCATCTCAGAAGGGAAAAATAATTTCATTTACTCCGACTCATATACTTTGAACGTATTTTTAAGAACAAATCTGTATTTTAAAAATTAAAGCAAACATAGTTAAAATTCTTAACTGCCTTAGCTACAAGTGTGAAATGTGTGAGAAACAAATTTAAATGGACTTTCAGTCAGCTTAACGGAAGGAAATAAAACTTGCATTTCAGACTCAAATCCGTTTTGTATGTGGTTAATGTAAAAAGTATAAATTTTTATATAAATCTTAACTTTTTTCTGTTAACTCAGTATTATTAAATTATGGGAGTAAACAATTTGCTTTTCATTTTTATCGGTTTCCAAATGGTGGTCAATTAATGATCACTGTCTTCAGAAGAAACACTGGTAGTTCTGGTGCACAGTATATAAGAATCACCCTGGTGGTACAGTACTTAAGCACCCCTGGCTAACTGAAAGATCTGCGGTTCAAACCCACCAGCCACTCTGAGGGAGAAAGATGTGGCAGTCTGCTTTCATAAAGATTGTTGTTGCTGTTAGGTGCCACCGAGTGGATTACAAGTCATAGCGACCCTATAGGACAGAGAAGAACTGCCCTGTAGGGTTTCCAAGGAGTGGCTGGTGGATTTGAACTGCTGACCTTTTGGTTAACAGTCGTAGCTCTTAACCACTGTGCCACCAGGGCTCCTTCATGAAGATTATAGCCTTGGAAACCCTACGGGGCAGTTCTTCTCTGTCCTATAGGGTCACTATGAGTCAAAATTGACTTGGTAGCAGTGGATGTGTTTGCGGTAGCCTAAAAGTAATTTACTCTTGTTTGGGTATCTGAACCTCTTTGGGAATCTGATTAAAGCAGAGGACTCTGTTCCCAGAAAACTCTACCTGTACTCATACATATAGTCTTTAGCATACAGCATCGTGGCATTTACAGGTCTTTTTGAAGCCTATTCATGGGGATCCTTTAGATATAAAGGATCTCAAGTTTTAAAACTTGCTCTAAACAGCTTGCTTATATCATTTTTTAGAAAAACGTTGTATGAAGACTCCTTCAAAAATATTTCACCAGTATTTATTATAATTTAGTTCATAGAGAAGTAACTGCCGTAGCTGGTTAAGAGGAGGAAGTGAGGTCTAGTGGAAAGCTGAGCTCAGTCAAACGTCAGTGAGCTCTCCTCCAGCTTCACTACCAACTAGCTATGTGACCTCTGGGGAAGTCACTTAACCTCTCAGACTGATTTTCTATGTGATTTCAGCAGTCACTGCAAGCAGGTTTATGAGCAGTTTCATGATATCATGGTAAAATTCTTCATCAGTTTGGGTTTGGCTCTGCTGCTGATTTTTGGAGAAAATGCCCTGGAGATAAGGTGTATGCCCAAGCTGCTGACTTTTTAGTGGGTATGAGTTTTCACAAGAGTTTATGCTGTATAACTAGAAGTTAAAATCCCAATCTCATCCTACTTGCTTTGGGTTTCAGTATATTTTGTATATTCTAGGTACAGACCTTTTTTGTTATATGTGTCAAAGTTATTCTCCAGTTCTGTGGCTGGCTTTGTCAGTCTTTTAACGGTGGGGTTTTTTTTGTTTGTTTTTGTTTTTGATGAACAGAAGTTCTTAATTTTAATTTAGTCTAATTTATCAGTCTTTCCCTTTTCATTATATTTTAAAACAGTAATATTTTACTTCCTAATCAACAGTTTGGATAAAAACAGTTTTAGAAAGCCATTCATTTAACAAATAATACTGTGGGAGATTGATGCATAAGAAATTATCCCCAGCCTGAAAGAGCTAACAAGAAAGGCCTAATAGGGAGATAAGCCTGGAACAGACAGTTTAAATGTCCATTCAGTCAATTCACTCATTTAACAAACATTTATTGAGCATTTACTCTGTGCCTGGCACTGTTCTAGGCATCTTTTAAGTGGTACAGAGTCCTGTAGGTATCTGTAATCCACCTTTTAATAACCACATAATTCTACAGATTGTTGGATGATTTTTCCTTTGGTCGGGAGTCCTTCTAACCTTGATAATTAAAATTGTCATTTATATGGGCCTGAGAACGTTAAAAAGGACTGCTGCTAAAGAAAAAACAGGGTAGAAGAGCAAATTGAATTTCTTTCAGAAATGAATGTTAACTGCGTGAACTGGATCTCTTTTAAATTATTTTACTATGTGCTTGATATGACTATACATGATAAAAGAACGTTTTATGATCTGGGTAACATGGAGATCTTTTGAAATATCCCCAGGGGAAATGAGGCACTATTGGAGTAGCATCAGTCAACAAACGTATTGTTTAAGGCATACAGAAGACTGCTCTCAGACTACTTCAGGTATTTAAATTTCATGTGGCATACTCTCACACTTAGAGTTTTAGGCATGGCACTTGAAATTTAAATAATATAATGCTAAATTATTAGGGGAAAGATTTTAATTCTCGTGTCTTGAGTTTATTTTTGTTAAAAAATATGTTTGGGGTAGGGAATGTTATAAATGTAAAATGCAGAATGTTAAAAATAAACATCATAGCTTGATTTGACTTTTCTGACATTGAAGTCAACTTAGTGAAGTTTAGTTCATCTTTATAGTACTAAAAAAAAACACAAATGATAAAAGCATCACTGAGCGTTGGATCCTGGGCCCCAAAACCTTGCTTTTCTTCTGGCTTTATCATTGATTAGATATATGGCATAGTGAAAGTCACTCTTGTGATGTGGCTTACAGTCGAAAGTAGTGAGACTTTAAGAATGAGAGTGAAGAGTTTCATTAAAATTCTGACTATACATTATTATAAAATGCTATGAATTTTTAAATTCTGCATAAGGCAAATCCATTTTAAGGTTAATTGAAAAAAGGCCTTTTAAGTGGACCAAACCTAGGGCTCTTGATGTTGTTAATGTAAAGCAAAAAACGGTGAAGGTAACTTGTTGGGGATGAGAGTATATTTGTGTGTTGTCATTTAGAGGAAGGACATTTCATTTCTGTGTGTCTCTTAGGAAAGGAGAACCATCAGCTGCTTTTCTTTGTCTTGTAACTCTAAAAGAGTAAGAGATTTAACTGCCCTTGAGTTCTTTCCTTACTGTAAAAACTACCTATCTCTTCCCTTTTTTCTTTTGTGTTTAAAACTTTGGAGACATATATATTTTGATTTTTTTCTTCCTAAAATCAGATAGAAATCTTTTAAAGTCTTCAGGTTTTGATGACTTGTCATAAATCTGTGTTTGTAGTCTAATTCCATTTCCCCTTCTTCTGTTGTAGGGGGCTAGAGAGCTGAAGGAGAGCAAGTTTCCCCAAAATTGGTAAGTATTTTTACAAGGCAGGCATAGTGTGCCTGATGCTAGTTGGATAATAGTTCAAATGTTCAATGACTTTTTTGCAAAAAAGCACTCTCCCAGAAATGAGGCTTTACTGAGGCGCTGAGTGAAAGTGAATTTTTGTCTTAATTTTACATAGTCGTATCTCAAACGCATTTGTGTTTCTAATAATACTGCTAGGCTTGCATGTTCCTGCATTCGATAACCTGTTAGAATATAAAGGTCCCCTTTGCCAAAAATGTCCTTAATGCAGTAGTTAGGACTGAGAATTGAAAAATCAGGAAATTCAAAAGTTAAGGTTCCCATTGTGTTTTGTATCCTTAATACACTGTTAAATTTGATGGCCGTAGTATATGTGCAAAATAGCTAGGTTAATGTAACTGTGGGACTCTTGACTTTGAAATTTGGGGCTCTTAAGCATTTATATTCTTAAACTTAACATTGGAGTGGCTTCACGTGTGATATTAGATTTTTAGCGTGTTGTTATTTTGTATTTAAAGGGAAAAAACGAAAAAGATAAAGAAGTGTAACTGTGTGGAGGGCATATAAGCAAATACATTTTTTCCTTAATATCTACTTTAATAGGTTTTTTTTAGTGGCTTATAAATCAGCTTAGTTAATCGTTTCTTTAAATGTCTAATTCAAGATCACAGATTGCAAAGGACAGTCTAGTGACTAGGCATCAAACAAATATTAACGTTAATTGGTGTGTATTACGATTAAAAAAAATATTAAACTTGAAGATAGCTTGAATACGGTAGTTGCCTAATGCAGGGCTACTCCTTTTGAAAAATTTCTCTCTGTCAGATAGTAATTACCTTAGTGGGTAGAGTAGACAGTTGCTTAAGGCTTTTTTTTGATAACTTCTAGCGCTTGAGGTGTCTCTTACCTTTTAGGGATGGGGCTTTAGACGTGAAGGGAGGAATTTGAACTGGTTAACTTTGCATTTTACTACCTTGTTATTCTACTTGCCTTTCTCTCATGGAACCTTTTTAAATAAATAATCAAGACCCTAGTAGCCCTTTACTTTGAGATGTGATACAACCATAGAGTCCTAGAGTTGGAAAGGACCTTATAGGTCTTCTCTTTCAGCCTTTTAGAGCATGTTTGGCAATTTCTTATTCTCTATCCCTGGCAGGTAGTTATTCAGGTACATATTGAATACTACATTTTAAAAAAATGTAGCTCATTGTTTTCTATAATGTATTCTGAGGACCTCTAGTTCCACAGAGATGGAGTAAATATTATTGTGGTAGGGTGGGGGTGGGAAAAGGGTTCTGTGATCAGATAATTTGGGAAATGCTGGGTTAAACGAAGTTAAACAGGTTTCTTTACTGCAGGACTCCTCAGAACCTTTAATATGCTAATATGCATTGTGAATCTCCAAGAGGGGGATATGATATGCAGCATTCTTGAATACTTCTAATGACAGGGAGCCCACTACCTCATAAGGTAACCCATTCCTTTTTTGTACAGCTCTAATCCTTAGTTCTTCCTTATATAGATCTGAACTCTATCTCCCATAACTTCCACTTCTTCATATTAAGTACTTACTGGTTGTGCTGAGACCACTATACTCTCTTATGTTACCCTTTGTGTGATAAATATTTATAAGATTCTGGCCAGCCATGTCTGCATAGTCTTTTATCTTTAAATAGCATTCTGTTACATGTGGCAACCAGTTCTAAAATCTTGGTCTCATTGTCACTATGCTGTGATACACTGATCCCCAGCCTCCTTCATTTTGAATTTCTGTAAATTTCTAAATTTACTTAATGGCCCTGTTGTTGGGTGTAGTTGGGCTGACTTAGTGGGCATGCTTAATTTTTGTAAAGAAAGGTGGGCAATAGAAGAGTATGTGTTGCAGCCTAGATCTGGCACCAGGAAGCTGAGGTAGGAACTGTATATGGTGATGAGCGCAGATGGTAGGGAAGTGGTGCAGGACACTATAGCAGACCTGTAGAGGAGAGGATGCTGTGGGGAAACCCTAGCTTGCCCCAGAATATCACAAAAGCCCTTGTGCTGCAGTGGTAGGATCTGTGTAGGTATTCTGTGTGTTTGTTTGTTTTTTTTAATTTAAATAAAGAACCTCCCCCACCAAAAAACAGAAGTAAGATACTTATTTTATACTCAAACACATTCAGACACTCAGATACCATAAAGCTAATTTTATATGTGTGTACATGTATATATTTTTTTAATCTAATAGTTAGGAAACTCAGTCTAAGTAGCTAACGTGATTTTTGTCAACAGGTGTAATAGCAGGGTTTGAGCATAGTAACTTTGCTAGATTCAAAGGGTAGCCTCTAAGGGTTGTCAAACCCTTTGTGTAATAACATTTTCTGTTGACCTGTGGAGCTTTACCAAAGAAATACCACTATGAAAATAAATCAGAATTTATTGAAAATTTGTTAAATGCTAAGAAAACAAACATTACATTGAGTTTTTTTATGTTGTCATTTTATATTGATTCATTTTAATAAGTGTTAAAACTTTCAGTAAATACTATTAAAAGAGTTGTATTATTTTTAGCACTTGGGTTATTTTTAATACTATCAATTAAGTTAGAAGTTAAGGATATTACTTTGAGTTATTTCTCTGCATTATTATCTCTGCATAACCCAAACCAAACTGACTGCCGTCAAGTCAATTCCAACTCATAGCAACCCTACAGGACAGAGTAGGACTGCCCCATAAGGTTTCCAAGACTGTGATCTTTCTGGAAGCAGACTGCCACATTTTTTTCCCACAGAGCAGCTGGTGGGTTCAAACCACCGGCCTCTCAGTTAGCATCCAAACACTTTAACCACTGCGCCACCAGGGCTCCTCTATATACCATGGAAGAAAATAAGTATTTTACACAAATGGAAACCTGATATTTGGATATTAAACATGTGACAAGAAGTTAGGATGCATAGATCTGCCAAGACTTTCTACTTTTTATATTGGCCCATATTTTAAAAAATTAATTAAACCTACTCTAAACACTATGAATTAAGTTAAAAGTTAAGGATATTAAGTTGTCTCTCAGTGTTATTATCTCTCTGAGCAAATAATCTGAAAAGCTGGACTATATGAAGAAAAACTCAGCATCAGGATTAGAGGACGCTCATTAAAAACCTGTGATAATGCAGATGACACAGCCTTGCTTGCTGAAAATAAAGGAGACTTGAAGCACTTACTGCTGAAAATCAAAGACTAGAGCCTTCAGTATGGATTACACCTTAACATAAAGGAAACAAAAATCCTCACAACTGGATCAGTAAGCACCATCGTGATAAACGGGGAAAAGATTGAAGTTGTCAAGGATTTCATTTTACTTGAATCCACAATCCCTGCCCATGGAAGCGGCAGTCAAGAAATCAAACGACATATTACATTGGGCAGATCTGCTGCAAAAGACCTCTTTAAAGTGTTCAAAAGCAAAGATGTCTCTTGAGGACTAAGATACACCTGACCCAAGTCGTGGTAATTTCAATTGCCTCACTATGCATGTGAAAGCTGGACAGTGATTAAGTAAGACCGAAGAAGAACTGATGCATTTGAATTATCATGTTGGTGAAGAATATTGAGTATACCATAGACTGCCAGAAGATCAAACAAATCTGCCTTGAGAGAAGTACAGCCGGAATGCTCCATAGAAGCAAGGACAGGAGACCGTCTCACACACTTTGAACATGCTATCTGGAGAAACCAGTCCCTGGAGAAGAACATCATGTTTGGTAAAGTAGTAATTGTTGTCGTTAGATGCCATTGAGTCGGTTAAGTAAAGTAGAGGGTCAGCAAAAAAGAGGAAGACCCTCAATGAGATGGATTGACACAGTAGCTGCAACAATGGGCTCAAACATGGTGGCAATTGTGAGGATGACGCAGGACCGGACAGTGTTTCTTTCTGTTGTACATAGGGTCACTATGAGTCAGAACAGACTCGACAGCACCTAACAATAACTCTAAACACTATGACTGAGAATCAGATCTAAAGAGGAGGGAGGAGTCTTACACCAGATAAATACAAATAATGAACATAGAGCTTTCTGTTTTTAGGGAGTTCAGTCTGAGGGCACAGTGTGTCATGGACTAAACTGTTAGTTAAAGTAACTGTTGGTTGATAAGTAGAGTTTTGACTGAAAAAAGGTTTATGTCAACTCAGGAACAGAGCAAAGTGTTTCTTAGCAGTAAATTCAGAGTTACACCTTTACTACAAGTTTTTAGTATAATAAAAGACCAAGAGGTCACATATCTCCAGGCAGAACTATACACAGAAAAGTATTGCTAGAACTCTCTTTCTTAGAGAGTTTGAAAATAGGAAAGCCTAGAGTCTTCTCAGCAATGTACTATTTTGAGAAGTTTTACAGTTTGTATGAGTAAAAGAGTTACCAGTAACTATGTTACGGATAACATAGTACTTTATAACTTATGAAGGGCTTTTCATATAGTTTTACCTTATTTAAACCTCATAACAATCTTATGAAGTAGGTGATATTGTTCCCATTTTCCTGCTTGATAAACAAGAAAGCAAACAAAAAATCCCCGAGGCTCAGAGTGGTTACCCAGTGAGTAAGTGGATTTAGGTCAGTTTGTTTTTTTGGCACAGTGAATGTTCTTGCCAGACACCAGAGCTGCCTTTTAAGGTGAGATTTGATTGTTGTTTTCGTTCGTTTGGTTTGTGAGTTTTTTGTTTGTGTGTTTGTGTTTCATTTTGTGTTTTTGTTATTTGAGGATGAGAGGCCATTAGGTTTAACATGTACCACTTTGAAGATTCCAGACATTGGTATTTTGTGCTAGGCAGTTGTCCTCTCTGATGGTATTATTTAGAGCTGTTGGGTGGTGAATGGCATTGTACCTGAATAAAGTATGTCTGTTATTGTTTTGTGAGTCTGTTTATATTCACCTTGCAGCAACTGATTTGTTATTAATAACTTATTGGAGCTGTTCAAAGTATGATAAATCATCCTTTACAAATTTAGCAACTAATGCCTTCTGTATGATGCTATGTACTGCCCCCAAACAGTCTTCAGATGATGGTGGCATGAGTTGCCTAAACCCCCAAAATATTCAACATGTGATTGTCTTGTTTTTGTAAGCTGTAAATATATGTATATAATTTGTTCCTTTAGGCAGAGACCAGTCCCTCAGAATTATTACCCAAAAGATGTTTTTGAAGGATTTCAAATGAATCTTCTTATTTTTATGTTTTTCTATAATTAGTGACTACCTTTTTTAACCCTTTAGTTTTATTGTGAAATAGAATGAGTAACTGGCATTTAGAGTCCTTACCAAACAAACTTCACTCCTTTGTGTGTCTCTAATAAGCAGACAACAATCTGATGAAGGAAGTAAAAGCTGTCAGCTCCTCATTAACTTGAGTTGCAGGCTTCTTATCATGCAAGGCACTCTTTGACATTTAGAGCTCCACGTTAAACCCTGGTTTTACTTTTTATTTTCCAGACATTTTGTTCAATCAGTACGAAATTTGCTGATGCTTTGTATATTAATTCTCAGTTAATTTTCTTTTCCAGGGTTAGATACAGTTTCAGTTAATTTTTTGTATATCTTCTATGGAAAATTTTGAAAATACTGATATCCCGAAAGGAGGAAAGTAAATAACCCTTAGTGCTACCACCCATAGATAACCATTAGCAAATTAGAAAAGTGCCACCTGACCCAAACTCAAGGCAGCACAGAGTATTATTATTTTGACAAATCTTTGTCAGTTTCATAGACAAAACTTCTTAAATTTACATTTCTATGACTCTAATGAGGATGAATATTTTTCATGTTCGTTGGTCATTCTTATTTCTTCTTCTGTGAATTTCCTTTTCACAGTATTTTTTTTAGTTGTGAGTGCTCAATATAAGCTATATTCACCCTTTTTCTTGTATATTGTAAATTCTCCATGTTTTTAACCTGCTGTTTATTTCAGAGTTTATGTGAGCTGAGTTGAGCTATGGTGTTACATGTTACTACTGTAGAATAAAATATGGCCTTTCTGTTATTGAAAATACCCCTTCAATTTCAAAATGATTCTTAATTTGACAAAAATTATAAGGAATCTTTTTTGGACACATTTTCTAGTAGAACCTTACAACTGATTTTAGAAAAATTAAAATTAATTCAAGTACTGTTTTCAAGAAGAACTCTAATATATAAGTCAAGAATTTGAATAGGGAGATTATTTTAGTATTGCCCTAATGGCATAGTGGTTAAGAGCTCAGCTGCTAACCAAAAGGTTAGCCACTCCTTGGAAACCCTATCGGGCAGTTCTACTCTGTCCTGTAGGGTCACTATGAGTTGGAATTGACTCCATGGCAGCGGGTTTGGTTTTTCTTTTTCTTTTTTTTTTTTTTTTGGGTTAAAATGTCAAGTGACTGTATAGTTTTGAATTTGTTATTGCATTTAGAGAAAGCTTATTATAACAACAACAAAATTCTTGATCTAAGTAATTTAATAATTTTACTATTTATAATAGCTCCATAAACTTCTAAGATAATAAGTTTAAAAAAACCTGTGTTTGTTTCTTGTCACCTGTTCTTTTCCACGAAGGATTCCGCTTTCTTCATCAAAATATGTCTCCTTTTCCAAATTATCTCCCCTAAGTTTATTGCCTTTATAAAATTTTTTGGTCGACAGTATCTTTGTACAGTAATCCTTTCCTGTTTGTGTTGTATTGTTGTGTGCCAACAAGTCAGTTCCAACTCATAGCAACTCTATAGGACAGAGTAGAATTGCTCCCATAGGATTTCCTAGGCTGTAATCTTTACGGAAGCAGTTTGCCAAATCTTTTCTCCCTCGGAGCTGCTGGTGGGTTCAAACCACTGACCTTTCTGTTAACAGCCAAGCGCTTGACTGTTGGCCTACCAGGGCTCCTATAATCCTTTCCTAGCCCTCACTTTTAGCCGTTGGAATTTTTGTTAGGTTAGAATGTTTTAATATTACATAACATAGTATATAAGCCCTAGGGGAGAGATTGCCACTGATATTTTAAGCCTAGTGAGATTAAGCAAAATAATGAAAACTAATATTCACAAGAATACATTCTATAGTTAATAATTCCATTATAACTGTTAAATCAGTTTTCAAAGAACTTTTAGAAAATTAGGTTAAAATACGGACTTTATGCATAAGCAAATAATTTTTAGAGGGTGTGAAGATCAAGATTAGTTTATAAGAATGCTGAAAAGCAGCTCTAACTACAAGTGTTACAGATGCAAAGAAGAAAAGAGATTTGAAGTAAAATTTAAATTCATTCAGGCAAAAACAGACTTTTGCTTTGGGAGGGTGCCTAAAATCATGTCTAAGGCCACATTCAAGAAAAAAATTAAAGGAGAAGTTAGCCACTGAGTTAATTTAAATTATAATAGTGATGAGGGGAGGTCCCTGGGGGGTACGTATGGTTTGCTCTCAGCTACTAACCTAAAGTTTTACAGTTCGAACCCACTCAGTGGCGCCATGGAAGGAAGGCCTGACGGTCTGCTTCCATAAATATTACAGCCAAGAAAACTCTATATAACACATGGAGTCACCATGAGTCAAGTGATGAGGGAAGGAGGGTAGGAAGGTCAGGCCAAGTGTCACATTCACAGAGGACATCAGATTTAGACTTTGACATTTATCTCCAAACGCAGTTATATGCATAGTCAAAGAGATGCACAGACAGGTTTCAAAGAAGATGCTGTTCATTGTAAAGCTGGAAACGTGTGCTATTACTAGACTGTTTCACCTTTTGTGCACAATAGATAAATATTTTAATATCCCCATCATAACTTTGTGGATAGCATAGTTACATTGCATTGTATTTATCTGTTTGAAGTGTTAATTTTATCTGTATAAATTGTAATTTGTTAAACATAAGCCTTTAAATTATGCTTGTTTCTTCATTTTTAAAATAGGATAAGAACCTGTACTAAGGAAAGTGCCTCAGCCCCTTTTAACCTCTGAGAGACCCTGAACTCTCCACTTCACTCTGTGTGATGTTTAAAAATGTATGACCATGTTGTTATGTGTCTCTCTCTAAGGACAGCGTGTCCTGGATGGTTATAGTCTCCGCCACTAGACTCTGAACTCACTTAGGGCCCAAGTGGGCTTGTCAGCTCTGTATCCTCAGTATGTAACAAGGTGCTGAGAGGTAGTGGTTGTTTAGATGTTTTCATGACCAGATTCAGCCCATTTTTTTCCCTATTTCATTAGTTATCTGAAGTGTTCTGTAGGAGAATGCGCAAAGAATAAAACCCGGAAGTTTGGGTATTGAATTGTTTTTGAAAAAAAATCTGTTGGGAAATTTCTTGCCCTGTGTTAGCCAAATATTTTTTATTAGCATAATTTATTTTATTTAACAAGAATATTTTCTCTATGCCCAACGTAATGATCTAAAACATTTTATGATCCCTACAGCTGCAGTGAGAAGAGGAGTTTGTTATTTTAAACAGAGGCTGAAGAAACTATAGAATTAACATAGACATAAGAGAAAGTGGAGAAGGTAGAGGATGGAGTTGCAGACTCTGCAGGAGGCTCTTAAAGTGGAAATTCAGGTTCACCAGGTATGTTGCATTATTGGCTTCTCCCACATTGTGTTATTGAGTAACGGCTAACATTAGTAAACAGGCCTATCTCTGGTTTTCACTTCAGATTTTAATAGTCTGTCAGACAATTGTCCAAGAGTCATGTCATTTGCTTTTTATCGTTACTCAACAAATGCATTGATGGTATATATTTACTTATTACTTTTAAGAGTGTTAATAAAATATTACTGTCTTTTCCTTTTCAGAGAAAAGAACTAAAAAAAAAATTTTTTTTTTAGTATTGCAAAGATGTTAAAAGAAACAACTCTTTTTTTCTATACCTTTTGTTTCACCTGAGAGACTTAGTTCATGCGAATTAACTTGCATGTTTTAAACAGGACATGCGGTATACTCAAGTGTTTACTTATCATATGACTCAGTTTTATGCCTTGATTCCAATCCTTAGTAAGGAAAATATGATTGTTTCATAGATGTTTAAATTTCACAGTTCTTACACTTCAACTCAGGTACCCAGACTTAAACCTTTCAAACATATATACAGACATACACACACGTATGAAACTGTAATCAGTACAAAAAGCTGTCTTTAAATAACTAAATAATTAACATTTATTATATAAACAGAATATCATTGTTTTATGTCTGTTCTCTAGGCGTTAGCTGGAGTATGGTCTTAGACTAAGTACACACACACTGACTCCTTGGTACACAAAAGGGATAAATTATGGTGAATTGACTACTTTTGAATGTGCAAAATTGTGGGTGTGGAGAATAGAAGAAGGAAACTGTCTCTTAAAGATGTTTGTCTTACATATGGTTTCTTTTGTTTTATCAGAATAGTCTAGTGTAAGATTAGTTTCTAAAATTGTTGGGAGAATATACTGGGCTTTCGATAACAGTTAGGTTTGCAAGTTCCCCAGAATTAGGGTGGAGGAAAACTTCAAAGGCCCTTATATATTTTTTTAATATTAAATCTTTATAGATTATATTCAGAATTATTTCTGAGTATGACATTGAAATATTAAACTGCAAGAAGTTTTACTTTTTGGAAGATACATAATTTTTAGTGTATAGTACTATCTTCTTTATCATAAAGATAAAAATGATTGACAGGTAACAATTAGCTTCCTAATTTGCCCCCTTTTTTTGTTCTGTGTTGCAAGAGCCTTTGCTCCCTATGCTAAATCCCTGCTGCTGCTTTGGTTCTTGTTAAACTGTCTTGTACAGGTAGGCTTCTTTATGTAAAATATATTTTGTTTTTATAGTAACTTGAAAAAGTTTCATATATAATAAGTTATGCACGTTTTATTTATTTGGCCTTGCTTCTGGTACTAATTGAGGAAGATAAAAATTTATTTCTAAGAACAAGCCTATCTTTTTTCCTGGATGAAAGTATTTTAACATAGAAGTGTGTTCAATACCCAGTTTGGCTGAGTGGCAAATGACTGTGAATTAAATTCACTGTTTGTTCAAATCTGAACATCACCTCATGGAACGAATTTCTGGGGTATAATAATCAATCTGAAATTTGTGTGGATCAAAGATAATTTAATGATTGTTGAATATGATTTTTGGAGTTTTTCCTCCTTTCAAGAAATGGCAAAGTTGACATTGTGCTTTTACTTTATCCTCACAAGTGAACATGTCTCTTAAGACTTTCCTGAAAGACTGGTGGCCTAAAAAGTGTGTTGTGGAACTACCTGGTATTGCTGTGGTAGAGGTATATTTTTGTTCTTCATGTATTTTTATGGATGAGGAAGTGGTTAAGAAAGTAGCAGTGTACACATGGTTGATGTTTAATAAATGTTTAAATAATAGTGACTTGTGATGACATCTCATCTTTCTGGGGAAATCACCTTTTTTCCTCCCGTATTTGATTATTCTTATGCGAATTCGCTGGAAGCTATATTAAAACTTTCAGAGGTTGGTAAACTTTTTTTGTAAAGGACCAGATAATAAAATATTTTAGGTTTTGGAGGTCATTTATAGTCTCTGTCACAACTACTTGGCTCTGCTCTGATAGGCACAAAGCAACCATAAAAAAAAAACAAAAAAACCGAACACGTTGCTGTCAAGTCAGTTCTCACTCATAGTGACCCGGTAGGACGGGTAGAACTGCCCCATAGGGTTTCCAAGGAGCAGTTGGTGGATTTGAACTGCCGACCTTTTGGTTAGCAGCTGTAGCTCTTGACTACTGCACACCACCAGGGCTTCAAAAGCAACCACAGACAATATATAATGAATGGGTATGCTGTGTTCCAATAAAACTTTATTTGCAAGAACAGGTGGCAGGCTGGATTTGGACTGTGAGCACTAACTTGCTGACCCTTGGTATAAAGTATATCCTCTTGAAAAATTACTACATCTTTGCAGTAGACGGTAGCTTAACTTTGATAACACAATGTCAGCTTAAAGTCGCTAGGGATTTGGATGGTCTCATAAGTTTCCCAGCTTGTCCTGTCCTACCACTGGTTGTCTGAAATTCAGCTTGACTGCTTATGGATGGAGAAGTTGGTGTATGTATTTATTGCAGAGGTAGAGATTTAGTGTGGTTATCAATCCATTTTTAAATTCCAGTGTCATGGAAGAAAACCTTTTCAGCTTTAAAAAGGTAACGTTAGTATAGTGTCCAGCTCTCTGCTAATCAAGTCAAAAAGGGAAACCAAGGGGCTTTTTTATTGAATGTGGTAAGTAGCCTTTAGGATGCATTGGTAGAAGTATACATGTATAAAACCTTGTGTTTCAATTCATTGAATTCTTGGAATGTGTATTGTTACTATTTTGTAGATTAAGACTAGGATACAGAAGAGCCAGTACTGTCAAATATGAAGTAGAATATAGTCACACACACCTCATGTATTAGGAGATCACATGGTTGGCAACCTTAGCTATCCAGAATGCATCTTAGCATGGAAGTAAGGTTTTTGATTAGAATAAATGTCATAAGTCATTCACTAAAGATTACACATTTCACTCAGGGGGATTTCTTAGGCTGTTACTTACAACCTATTCACACATCTTGGAGTTAGTCCACTAAGCGTATCATACAGCAGATCAGAAGCAGAAAATCTGAGTTGGGGTTCAAGGGCTATTAGGGGAGGCACAATAATAGCAGCAAGATTTGTTAGCTGATTGCTTAGCAGTAGACTGAAAAACTAAAATGCACACAAAAGAACTTTCTAAAACCTAGCAGTTTTAGGCTTTCATATTAAGGACCTTATTGTGCTTTATATATTAATTGATGGAAACCCTGGTGGCGTAGTGGTTAAGAGCTATGGATGCGAACTGAAAGGTCGGCAGTTCGAATCCACCAGCCGCTCCTTGGAAACCCTATGGTGTAGTTCTACTGTGTCCTATAGAGTTGCTATGAGTCGGAATCGACTGGATGGCAATGGGTTGGTTTGGGTTTTTAATATTAATTGATAGTAATCATGTCTCTAAGTATAAATAGAACTTGACTTTTTTTCCTACTTAAGAAGGCAGATAAGTATATTTTTTTAAAAGATTTTTATCCAATATGACTTAAAATTTTAAAAGTGCTTCATCACCCAAAGGGGGGTGACAGATTTTTGAGTTACATGAAAAATTCACTTGGGGAACAGCTTATTCCCAGATAACCTTTAGGAATCAGCCTTCTAATATTTTTTTATCCTTTGAGTTTTTCTGTCCATGGTGGTTGTTACGTTTGGGCAACAATGATTTTAGAAGTTGGACTAAGTCAAGCAATATTCATTTTTCTTTGTTTTTCATTTGTTTGGGCTTTTGTTTTCCCTAGTAAAGGCATATCTCATTAAGTATTCAGTAGCACTGTCCTTCCCGGAGGAACCCAGATAGGTAGAGTTTCCATTGTTGCCCCCCACTTCCTCACTCTCAAATACTAAGCATCACTGCTCCTCTGAGTACATTCTTCCTCCCCCGCCTTCTTCCTCCAGAGAAGACAGTGGCAAAGTCAAATCTGACACTAGGCTCCTTCTGTGGTAAGAATCAAACCAACAGGCTTGCCAAATCTGTACTTTGCTGTACACAAACAAGCCTGTTTGTATGTGAGCAGCGTCTTTCCAGGCCTTGACTGGGACTCTAGACAACATTTTAAAGAGATGTTTAGCTTTGGAACATCTAGCTTATGTAAATTGCCATTGAAAAGCCCTCATCCCCCAGATTTATTTAAAAGCAAGCACTCTTTCATTTCAAATATTAAATGATAGTTTAATTTTTCTTTTTCTATGAAGAGAAGTATCTCATTAGCCTTATATAGATCACAGAAACTTTTGACCTATTCTGATTGCGATGTTGCTCATTTTTTGTGTGGATTTAAAATCCTGGATATTTGGGGCCAAACCTGGCTAGACGTAGTGAGTTAATATGTAAGACTGATATCTCTTTTTCTCTCTTTATTACCAGAAACTGGTTGCTCAAATGAAGCAGGATCCACAGGTAATACACTATTTTTATTTATTTTATTTTTAAATTAAAATAATGTAAAATAAAATGATAAAATATTAAAATATAGACTATACTTAAGTTTAAAGAACTATCTCATTTCTAACAATTATTTTTACCATGAAGACATTGGTCTTCATGTTTCAAGGGTTTAGAAAAATTCAGTCAGTCTGTTACAATATAGCTATCATTTCATATTTGTTACTGTTATTTTGCTTTTATATTAATTACTTTGAGTGTTTTGAAAACAAATTGAGAGTTAATACTTTTTGTATAGCTTAAATTTCATTTCCATAAGCCCACTTATTCAAAATCAGAGTTATCAAACTTTCTGTAGTTTCAAAATTACTGAAAGTGTCCCAGAACCATTCTTATTTACTCAGAATTTATAGTACAGACATAGTACAGAACATTTAAATATGGAATCCCACTATGTTCAGAGTAAAAATTTTAGATATTTTAAAAAGCATTTTAGAAAATTTAATTTCTGAAAGAACCCTTAAAAAAGAGTATAAAAATACCTTATATAACAATACAGCAAATGCTAACTTTTCTTTAAATTCTACTAGGAGTTTTGACTTAGGTCTTTTATTCTCCATCTCTGAATAGAAATCTCCCTAAAAAATTATCTTGTCTTCGGATGATTATATTTACTGTTCAGGCAGTATCTCTTTTGTAGCCATTTGACAATGGCTCATAAGTGTGAAAAGTACTTACCAAACTTGCTCAGATTTTTCCCTTGTTTTTGTCGGTTCGTAAGCTGTTTACAGAACCCCTAGATTCATAGATGAGTACCCCGAAATGAATATGTAAATAGGTAAATGTATGTATGTATACGTACGTGTGCATGTTTGTGTTTATATATATATATATATGTATATATATCTGTCCCTGTTAGTGCAGATGGTTAAGTGCTCAGTGACTAACTGAAAGGTTGGCAATTCAAACCCACCCCAGGGTACCTTGAAAGAAAGGTCTAGCAGTCTGCTCCTGAAAGGTCATAACCTTAAAAACCCTCTGGAACACAGTTCTGCACTGCGACACATGGGGTTGCCATGAGTCAGAATTGACTCGATGACAACTTTTTTTTTTTTTTTTTTGGTTGCCGTTGATTTGATTCTGACTCATAGCGACCCATAGAACAGAGTAGAACTGCCCCATAGGGTTTCCAAGGAGCAGCTGGTGGATTCAAACTGCCGACCTTTTGGTTAGTAGCTGAGCTCTTAACCATTGCACCACCAGGGCTTTGGTAACTGGTAGTCATACGTGTATGTACATATTTTTTTAAAACATACTATATGTGCCTCATTGTGAGGTGTAAAGTAAGATAAATTCTTGGACTGAAGAATGGTACTGAGGCAGATTAATCTTTGGAAGTGGGCAATAATACTCATTTCTACAGATTCAGAGCCCAGTGATCTTAACTACTGTGTTTTAACATAATCCATTGGCTCTGCATTGGTACCTTGCCCTTACTCCAGTTTGACAGTCCAGCTTCCATGAGGAGCTTTACCTGTTGGATTTTTTTTTTTTTTTTTAATCATTACAATTTAAGTTGAATTTAGGGAACCAAGAGTCAATAGATTTAGATTAGCAGACCCTTTCACATCTAATGTGGCAAACCACATTATTGGCAACTAAAATATTATTAGAAAACTTCAGCATTTCTGATGCCCTGGTAATCATGTAACAGAACAGTCCTGACCCTAAGAGTCTGAGGGGGCAATATGTAGTTGGACAATCTTGTGGGTAATCTCACTTGTTTTTGTCATGTGCTGTGTGCCGTTGAGTTGATTCTGACTCATAGTGTCCTTATAGATCAGAGTAGAACTGCCCTGAAGAGTTTTCTAGGCTGTAATCTTTACGGGAGCAGATTGCCAAGTCTTCTCCCTTGAAGCAGCTGGTGGGTTCAAACCGCCGACCTTTTGGTTAGCAGCCGAGCCCTTAACCATTGCACCAGCAGGGCTCCTTGGTGATCTCATCAGAGAGGCCTTATATCAAATACACTTATAAAAAGGACCAAATGGAGACCCTGGGACCCAGTAAACATGAAACTCGATAGAGGGGAAGTGTGCCCTAATCCTAGCAAAAGACCAGGCGGGGAGAATTGAAAGAATTATATATGAAGCCATCAGGTGAAAGTCATCTGTTGTTGGAGATGGTGTTCAGCCTGCTAATAGGCTGTCCTGCTGCATTAAGCATTTAAAAATTTTGATTTTGGATTTTTTTTTCCCTACTTGAATAAAAGGCAAGCATACTCAGTGTATCTCATCTAAAATAGTATTCTTTTTTTGATTCCTAGAATTTTAGAACTGAGAAAATGTCCTGGTAGTCAGTGTGCTAATGTGAATGATGTAGTGTTAAGGCGGTTGCAGCACTGACAGCTTTTCAAATCTAGGCTAAAATAACAACTGTACTCCACTAAACAAGGGAGAGGCCAAGTGGAGAAAAACCTCTTATCTTTGTTGTTAATACCGTTAAGCATACAGTGTATGCATGCTTATAACCTCCATTTTCCTGCTTTTGTCTGATTAGTGGAGCTTTAGGTTTTCTGTCAACTGATACTTTCTGTAAAGAATAACAATATTTTGGTAGAAAGGTATTACGATGTGAAATCCTAAAATATAAAACTTCTTATAATTTAAAGCAGTTGTAAAGATCCTGAACCTATTCTGGTTGTTGTGGTGGTATGTGCCGTTGTGTCGGTACCAACTCATAGTGACCCTATAGGACAGAGTAGAACTGCCCCATAGGGTTTCCAAGGCTGAAATCTTTACAGGAGCAGATCACCAGGTGTTTTCTTCTGTGGAGCTGCTGGGTTGAGTTTAAACCGCTGACCTTTAGATTAGCAGCGGAGCTGTTAACCACTGCGCCACCAGGGCTCCTTATTCTGGTGTTAGAAGCCTACATTTAGGATCTGTGCATTAGGTGGTGATAGGACTATATGGTTTAAAGCATGGCAGATTTGATTGGCTAAATGCTTAAGGTTGTTTTCATCATTTGTAATACAGTATATATAAAGTCTTCTTGCTACTATTCTGTTAACAAATGAAATATCTTTCTCACAGATATTTTTTCTTTCCAATCAGAATGCTGATTTAAAGAAACAGCTTCATGAACTCCAAGCCAAAATCACAGCTTTGAGTGAGAAACAGGTAGGGGAAGGGGGGGGCATATTTTTGACATTGTGTTCTAAAGATATGTCTGCTCGAGGCATCTAAGAGAACTGCTATTTTTTTCTCATGTGTGAAAATAAGTGTGGGCAGCCAGACTCAGTTTTAATTTTGTTTGAGCTCTGTTTATCTATTTTTATTTTTGGTTGAAATCAGTCTCTAGAGTATCCCATTGGTATATGTTACTGGCAAATACCTAAAAGCAATGTGGCAGTCTGCCGTTAACTGTGTTAATTAAACTCTCGTTTACCCATAGGGGGAAAGGGTAAAGAAAGTGGGAGTATGTAATAGAGATTCTTGTAGCTGCTGTAAGTGCCTTGTTACGTGTTTTAAAAGCTTGAGATGACATTTAACTTATTGTAGAGAGAATGATTGTAAGTAGATTGCTCGAAATGTAGGTCTTCCATTCTGAGTATTGTCACACCTTTATGTTAATCTTTATTAGATAGTGACCTTCAATTATATGAAAAAACGTTTGTGGGACCTTGTTAGACTTATTCTATATAGGGCAAGAGAAGAGCATCTTGCTTTTTTCAAGAACATTTGGAAAGTATTCTTTGAAATTTCCTGTATAATGACTAATTCAGGCATCTCCTGCCACCAGGTGGAGTGTGGCAGTTGAGAGAGCTGTAAGTAAATGTCTATGGTAATGTGGCAGAGCATTTGTTTTTCTTGTTCCTTACCCATCCGTCTCCATCAGGTTATCTTGGAGTAGATAAATGTATGAACCAAAAGGATAAAATGATTTGCAGTTGATAGTTCAAGCTAGTGACATCTTATTGAAGATCTTTTGACTAAATATTTTTCAATAATTGATTTTTAGGTTGTTTTTTAAACTTTATTTAGTGAAATAATAACAATGAGAGCAGTTTATGCCTGGAGATTTCTAATTTTGTTTGTGTTGTTTATTTTGTTTTCATTTAACTAAGTGAAGAAATAAACTTCAATAGCTATGTGGAATAGATTCCCATTATTTCAGAATAGAATGTTTTTTTAAGCTAAGTGCACACCTCCCCCCGCCCCCCCCCCAGTTCTTATGCCTCTGCGCTTCTCCATCTTGTCTTCTCCACAGATAGGAGGTATTTTAGATTAGCAATTGCCAAACTAAAATTGGGAGGGGGTGGGATAGTGGAGAACAATTTGTAAGGAAACATATAAACAGTTTGTTAGTATGTATTGGCTCTGGAAGTGATTCAGGTCTCTAAAGTCAAAATGATGTGTATTACTGAAAGTGTTCTAGCTTTAGAATTCTGTTAGCGCTGAGCCTCCTTATAGTTTCAGGGTTAGTTTGACAAGATGCCAATGAATGAGTCACTTTTGCTGAAAAATTCACGTGTTCCAGCGGGAGAGAAGGTGAGAACTGACTAGTGGAGTGGGGGTTGGGGAGCTGTCTCAAAGTTAAGACAACCTAAGGCAACATTGGGGAAAATGGGGCAGTTTTGGGGGGGGTTTATGTTTATTTGAAATTTTTGTTTGTGAGAACTAATATAAAGATGTGATTTATTTCTGTTGCTTTTTATTATTTATTTATTTTTTCTGCTAGGGACCTCACTTAATAGAAAATTGTACTCATTTATGTTCAGTAAAATTTCATGAAGTAGTAAACTGTAGTTGTCATTTGAACTAAGTTTTAATTTTAGACAGTGGAATTTTTAAAAAATGTGTTTAGCATCAGGGAAACCTGAGGTTTATGAAGTAAAGAAAACTAGAATCAGAAAATGAAATGCAGTCTTGCAGTTTTTATAGTATTTGCTTAACTGTTAAAAAAGCTTTCTTGACGGAAGAGGAGATATATCATTTTTGGGTAGGAGAGTACCAGAAGCAAGTATAGATATAAAGTTCAAAAGATGATTCTTCTTCAGACCTAATTTATTTCCAACATGAAACATTACTATTTAGTTTTAAATAGTTTTATTTTAGAACAACTTCTTAATGCTGCATGCCCAGCTTTTTGTTTTTCCTTCTCTGAAGAGTCACTTCGTGTCTGGCAAAACTTACTGATATTCCTCTACCTTCATAACTGAAATTTGAATTCTGTTACTTACATGACTTATTTTTAAATTTAATTAAAAATTAAATTTGTTGCGAGACAGTTTTAAGATACAGAAAAGTTCAAAGAATAACGTCACGCTCCAGAATTAATAACTATTAACATTTTTTCTCCATTCTTTTTCTGTATGCATTGTTTCTATAATCATACTTTTTCTGTACCTACTTGAAAAATTAATTATGCAAGTAACAGATGGACGGAGCCCTGGTGGCATGGTGGTTAAAGCACTCGACTGCTAACCGAAAGGTCAGCGGTTCAAAACCACCAGAGTCTCTGTGGGAGAAAGATGTGGCAGTCTGCTTCTGTAAAGATTTACAGCCTTGGAAACCCTATGGGGTGGTTTTACTCTGTCTTATAGGGTCGCTATGAGTCAGAATCGACCCAGTAGCAGTGGGTTTGGTTTTTTTGGTAACAGATACACACATTCTCTTATTTTTAAAAATAAAACATTGCCCATAGGCACTTAATAATTCTTACAGTAGGTATTAATTCATATTCATTATTACCACCTCAGTCCTTGATACTTATTCAGTTTTTCTTCCTCAAAATTTGTTGTGAAATGGTTCAGTCCATTTGAGCAGATACGGTCTTCAGCAAACATCCTTCATGGCTAAAACTCAGTAAATTTCATTGAATTCTTGGTTAGAAGGTTCTAGTGCTTTCAAACCGTGATTTCAGATTTCTGAGTAGAAACTTTCCAGGCAGATTTTGAAGTCAGCTTCCTGACCTTTACAGGGTTTCCATTTGTGGTTGACAGTTTTAGCTTAGGAAATCCCCAGACTTGATTGACTAAATAAATTATACGTTATGTAGGCATTAAAAGTCATGTCTTTAAAAACTGTTTTAATGACAGAGGAATGTGCTTATGATAAATGAAAAAGTACACACAACTTTATATGCATTATAATCCCATTTGTGTGTGTGTTACATGTGTGTATATACATAGGCAAGTGAATGTGTATACAAGCCATGTCAGTATAATATGTTGGAAGGTGGTAAGTTTACTGGTGCTTTAGTTTTTCTTTATACTGTATACTACTATATATTTTTTTCTGAATTCTCTACAATGAACGTGTTTCATAAATAAACAAGACATTATTTAAAATTTTTTAATAACTCTTTTTAATAACTCACTAAACTCTTGTCTGTTCCAAGGATAAACCAAACCAAACCATTGCCGTCCAGTCATTTCCGACTCATAGTGAACCCCATAGGACAGAGTAGAACTGCCGCATGGGGTTTCCAAGGAGCAGCAGCTGGTGGATTCCAACTGCCAACCTTTTGATTAGCAGCTGGGCTCTTAACCATTGCGCCACCGGGGCCAGAGATAGTTGGTATTTAAAATCTAATGACATTCTTCTCATGGTATGTGAACCACTCTAATGAGAGAATTCAACTATTTTAACTATTAGTAATGAAGTGTAGAAATGACTCTTAATTTATTAAACAGGATTCATTCTCATTCTGCCCCCCACCCCTCATTTTTGATACGCATATGTAGTCTTTTGCTTGTCAAAATAGAGATTCTGATTTTGAAGCTAATACACCTAGTTGCTTAGGGCTGCTTCCATTCTGATTCATTATAGAAGTGATCTTAAATTTGTTGCTTGTCCCTGTAGTGATTCAGACTTAAGTCATAGTAGTTCAGGTTTCTTACTAAGAGTTAATAATGACAGCCCTGTTTAGAAGTAAGTGTGTGTGTGTGTGTATAATTAAAGAGTTCTAGTATTGGGGAATGCAAAAACAGGTAGGCTGTATTTAGGCTTAGATTTTAAAAAGAAAAATTGGTTTAGCTGTTGCAGAGTTAAATTGTATCTTATAAGCTTGTGTTACAGTAGTTATGAGACGAGTTAGAAGGAAACATGTTGCTATTGTCATTAGCTGCCATTTAGTCACCCTCTGACTCATAGTGACCCCATGCACAATGAGATTGAACCGTTGTGATCCATAGGGTTTTCATTGGCTAATTTTTGGAAGTAGATCTCCAGGCCTTTCTTCTTAGTCTGTCTTAGTCTGGAAACTGGTGAAACCTGTTGAGCATCACAGCAGCATGTAGGCCTCCACCGTCAAATGAATGGCGGCTGTGCTTGAGGTGAATTGGCCAGGAATTGAGCCCAGGTCTCCTGCATGGAAGGTGAGAATTCTGCCACTGAACCAACAATGCCCTCAAAAGAAAACATACGGTACTTTAAAACACTTAGGAGGTGATGAAGCTTAGGAGGGTGATAATAATTTTTGCACTATGTACATGTTTTCATGTTTTAAAACTTAGAATGTTTTGTCTGTAAGTTATTTTTATCAGATGTTTTAATTAGTTTATTAATCTCCTCCTGATAGATCTCCAGTTCTGCACCAATGCGTGAAAAAATGAGCTAATAATTAAATTTTAAAAAACAGTTGCTGTCAAGTCAGTTCCAACTCATGGCAACCCAGTGTGTTTTAAAGTAGAGATATGCTCTGTAGGCTTTTCTATGGCTGATTTTTTTGGAATTAGATTGCCAGGCTTTTCTTCCAAGGCACTTCTGGGTTGACTGAAACTGCCAGCCTTTTATAACGTTTGCTAAATGCATTGTTCTGACTGAAAACTCAAAGACCAATTGGGGGACTTTGATTCTTCTGTTAATTTTCTGTTAGTTTAAAAGATACGAACAGTTTAGTTTTCACGTTGCTTTTATTTGGGTCTATTAATTTTATTTTATATACATAAGAAGAGTAGGCAGAAACCTTGTCCTTGTTGTTAGTTGCCATTGAGTTAGCTCCGACTCCTGTCAGCCTTATGTATAATAGAATGAAACATTGCCTGGTCCTGCTCCATCTTCATGATTATTGGTATGTTTGAGTCCATTGTTGTGGCTATTGTGACAGTCCATTTCATTGAAGGTTTTTCCATTGTTTTTGTTGACCCTGTGCTTTACTAAGCATAGTGTCCTTT